TGGGCCCAAGATCATGGAATCCATGGTCTTACCATGTCCCCACCATCCAGAAGCAGTAGGCTTAACAGAATGAAAGAATGGCCTTTTGCAGACACACCTGCCATGTCAATTAGGGGACAGCAGCTTGGGTGGCTGGGGCAGTGTTCTCCAGAAGGTGGCATACACTTTGAATCAGTGTCTAATACTTGGTATGATTTATTCCATACTGTAGCCTGTAAGTCATTCTAATAAATTCTGTCTATAAAGAGAGAGATTTAGTCTATAAGCTCGGTCACTCTAGAGTACCCTAACTAATACAGAAGGGGATTAGTGAGAGGGGAAAGGAGAAATAGGAGAAGGTAATAGGGAAGTGGATTGGAAAAGGTAACACTAAGTTGCACTTGGCTATGGTGTGTTCACAAAGGTATGACTACAGACACATGCCATGTGAGAAGGAAAATGTTAGTCTAAAACACTTTATTTTGTAGACTCAAAGGAAACTAGTAAAGTTTTTAAAGACCAGAATACAGAGACTGGCACTCAGGGGGAAGTTTGCCCCTGTCCTTCCATGAGGCCTGTCAGAGCTACTCAGGAACTTCCTCCTCATGAAGCTCTGGTAGCCGCAGACACAATCACACACAGCAGTTGTCTGAAACACAGATGCTTCCTCTCTTGTAGTTCAAAAGGTTGGAAATCTAAAGTCAGGTTCCTTGGATGCTAAGCAACTTGTTACATGGGTGACTGTCCCTTGCTGTAGAGATTTGAATTGATATGGATCTTGGTTTATTGATAAAAATTTAAGGTCAAATTTGTTATTTGTATATTTCTGTTCTTGATTAAGTTGCTGTGTTTGTGCAGCTCATATTAAAAGGCATAATTAAGAAATACAACCTAATAGAGAGTCATTTATAATAGTCAAGTTTGTAGTCAATATTAATTAGATTTTCTAGGTGTACAGAGATATATTTCAGATGGATAGGCGTTCTTCAAATCTTTCAAAGACTACAGAATGCTGCATTTAAAATGTTTTAAGAACTTAGACTTTTCATGACAATGAGACACATCTGTTCCTGGCAGTACCAATCTAGCTTCAAGAGGAAGATGGGCACCAAAGAGGCTCCTTATGGAGTCTGCTAGCCATTTGGGCAAGAAACTGCTCTTGCTCGATGTTATGTTGCATGAACTGAAGATGCAGAACCCACAGAGAAATGGCGGCTGAACTTGCCTAAAGGTGACATGATCCTTCAGGGTTCCCGCTTCATGGAAGACTCTTCTAGACATTCTATAAGACACAGAAGAAAGTGACTGACAAACTGCCAATATAGGCAGAACTGTCTTTGAAATTCCCTGCTTCATGGAAAAGTCTACCAGATACTATGGGCTGTAGGCTGAAGATGGATGCCCCAACAGTACAGAACAACTTTGGGTGACTGTCCAGGTAGTGAGATATCTTTGTCAGTTCTAGAGTTTTGGAAGTTACTTACAATGTACTTCCTGTTTACTTAGATAATATTATATTTTATAGGGTCTTTGATGGAGTTGAAGAATAGATAGTTATAATTATGGTTTTCCTTAGTTATGATAAAAGATAAAGTAGATATAAATATTGTAACTGTAATTCTGTTTTGTTATATGTGATTTTATTATGTTAAAGTTAAAACCTTTCTTTTAAACAGAAAAGGGGAGGTGATGTGGGATTTCCCTCTGTATGCTGTGAATACCATGGATTAATAAAGAAACTGTCTTAGACCTACATAGGGCAAATATAGGTAGGTGGGGAACTAAATTGAATGCTAGGAGAAAGAAGGCGGAGGCAAGAGAAGCCATGTAGCCCTGCTGGAGACAGATGCCAGAACTTTACCCAGTAAGCCACAGCCTTATGACAATACACAGATTAATTTAAAATGTAAGAGTCAGAAATATGCTTAAGCTATTGATGAAACAGTATTGCAAAAAAAAATATGGTTTCTGTGTAATTATTTCAGGTCTGAGCAACTGGGAACAAATGAGTGACCTCTTAAAACAGTCCCTTCCCACTCAGTAGAGGTCATTGTCATCCTTGTTCCCTCTCCATCAATCCCATCTCTGCCTCTGGGGTCACATGGCCTCAACCCTGAATCAGCTTTTACCTTAGAGAAACACTTGTGATTGGATCTGAAGGCCATAGACAATGCAGGATGGTCCCTAGAGGGCAAAGTCCTTCACTTAGTCACATCTACCAAGACCATTCACAGGATAAAGGAAACTTTTATAGGTCCCAGGCAAAGGGGCCTTGAGTTTCTTTCGGCTGAGCTGGCCTGTGGCTATCTCTCCAGGATGATTGCCTGTCTGAACCAGCCTCCTTAATAATCTTTGTTTTCTTCCTCCTGGACATATCATGGGTCTCCTTGAACACACCAAGAAGGTTTAGGTAGCAGTAACTTCTTACTGTCCTGAAAAGGGCTGTACAAATGGTGAAATATTAAATGCCATGAAACAACATCTAAAGCAGGTATTCACTGCATACTAAGAACTCTTAATTAAAACAAACAGAAACATTTCCAAATTTAGAATATAAGATCCTACTCAACAACAAAGAGAAAACTGTGTATAAAAATTGCAGCATGCTTAACCCTATATAGGCCATTTATACCACTCTCCACTCCTTAGGCTCAGGAATCATTGCAGAAGGAAGAGTGGAAAGAATGTAAGAGCTAGAGGCAGTGGATGACTACAAGCAAGCAGCATCCTTGGCTCCCACCAGAGCTATTGCACAAATGAACTCATAGTGGTTGTGATAGCATGCATAAGACTTGTGCAAACTCAAGCCAGACCAGTTCCCAGCATGGAGAGGAGAGGTAGCATGAAACCCTGCCCCCTAGTTGAAGAGCTATTGGCAACTGACAGCTGCTGGGATAGGGAGAGTCAGATTTTAAGGGTGTGGTTCCTGGTAGGTTGACCACACCCCAGTAGGAGGTCGCAAGAGTATAGGGGGTCACATAAACTGGAATCAATGGGTTTTATTTAAAATGAAAGCACAATGGTGGGTAGACAGGGAAGTAGGGGTATATATGATCAAAATACACTGTATGAAATCCTCAAAGAATTAATAAAAATATTTTTGAGACAGTGTCTCGCTGTTTAGTCCTGGCTGGCCTGGAACTCACTATGTAGACCAGGCTCATCAACTCAGAAACCTGCCTGCTTCTGCATCCAAGGGCTGGCATTCAAAGTATACACCATCACACCCAGCAAATAAATTTAAATATATATATATAGTGTACTCTCACTTTTCCAGGAAGCACACGGTGAGCTGTGGGCATTGCAGAGCTGGACACAAGGGAACCTGGTCCCCTCCTGTGCTGCCTGCCATGCACAGGAGGGGGAAAAAGAGAATATATACAGTAGGACTGCCAAAAAGAACTATTTCTCAAAAATTTTTATTACCTTTTTAAAAATGTGGCTTGTTTGCTTGTTTGTTTGTTTGTTTTGTTGAGACAATGCCTTGCTGAGTAGTTCAAATATATATAATATACATATACATACATACATACATACATGTAACATATATATGTGACACACACACATATATATACATATATGTAACATCAAATTCTGTGACATGGATAATTATAGGAGTTGAACCAAAAATTGAATCTTTTCTGACAGTCCACTCTCTCCCTGGGAGATAGAGATCCAAGATGGGGAGGAAGTGCTGGTCTGCACGGTGATGATGCCAACGTCGCTGTTGTCCACACCACACCATGGGGAGCTGTTTATCCTGTACTGTTGATAATTCATGGTCTCCTTTTGTGTCACCTTGACAGTGCTACTGACATTGATACCCTGGGAATTAATCCATTAGACCTGAGGGAAATAGTTCCCAGCTCGTGCTTTACAAATATATCCCATATGCCTCCGTTGCAGGTGGAGAAGTCCCCAGTGCCAGCAGTCCTGAAGACAGCTGCATCAGTGTGTGGAGAGTCTGAGGCTTCTGCATGGCAGGCAGCACAGGAGGGGACCAGGTTCCCTTGTGTCCAGCTCTGCAATGCCCACAGCTCACTGTGTGCTTCCTGGAAAAGTGAGAGTAGGAACACAAGAGATGACTCCTTTTCATCAGAGATCTTTTTCCTCAAGGGAAACCTTAGACCGACACCCCTGTACCAGATCCACCTCAGTGCTGGAGGAAGTCCCTCAGAACTTGCTCATTAACATCCTCTATTCCTCCCTCCCTTCCTTTATTCCATCCTCCCTTCCTCGTTCTTTCCACCCACCCATCATTCTCTCCTTTCTTTTTGTGTATATGTATGTGCATATGTCTGTGTCTTATGCACGTGGTGTTCATGCACAAGTGTGGGTGTGAGGGCCAAGGTTTGATGTCTTCCTCGACTACTCTGCCTCATTAAAATATTTTTAAGATTTATTATTTTATCTATGCGTATGAGTGTTTTGCCTGGGTGTAAATGTGTACAGGCCAGAAAAGGGTGTCAAATCCTTTGGAACTGGAGTTATGCATGACTGTGGGACACCACATGGGTGCTGGGAATTAATCCTGGGTCCTCTGCAAGAGTAGTAAGTGCTTTAAACCGCTGAGCCACCTCTCCAGTTCCTCCATTCAGTTTTTGAGACAGGGTGTCTCACCAAATCTGGAGATGACCAATTCGGGTAGAATGAGTGGCAGACATGTGCTAGGGATCCTCCTGGCTCTGCCTCCCCAACCCTGGGATTTATGGGCACACAATGTCACACTCAGATTTGTATGTATATGTTGAGAATCTAAATTTAGGTCCTCATGCTTTTGCGACAAAACCTCTCGCAGAGCCGCCTCCATCACTCTCCTCCTCTGTTCGTCCCTACCCGGGTCTCTTGGGCCCCTTGGCTGTCTGACTGCTGGGTTTTCATGTGTTCTCTGCAGACAGGAAGACTCAGGCCACCTGCAATCTTTGGTTCCTCTTCTGTGAGCCACGATCTCTTGATTTTCTGCAGCTTTCTCAGTTTCTAGAAAGTTGTGCCTGCGTCCCTCTCCCTTTGCTCACTCGCAGCCATCCATCAGGAAGCCGCTGCCCCGACTGCTGTTTCTGCTCTGGGTCTGCAAGTGGGCACCTGGAAACCACTTTCTTCTCCCTATGGTGTCCACAGTTACCTGCGAGACACACAAGCTGGAACTGAAGTCCAGCCTAGTGAAAGTGCAGGAGGGTCTGTGTGTCCTCGTACCCTGCACATTCTTTGAACAGTCTGGGAACCGAAGCTCAGACATGGTCTTTGGCTACTGGTTCAGAGCAGGGGCAAATACAGACCATGATTCGCCCGTGGCTACAAACAACCCAAATCAACCGGTGAAGAATCAGGGCCAGTTTCATCTCTCTGGGGACCCAAGGAACAATGATTGCTCGCTGGACATCAGAGATGTGCAGAGGACCGACAGCAGTTCTTACTTCTTCAGGAGGGAAAAAGACTCCTTTAATTGGAATTACTATATGAATCAGCTCTCTGTGCAGGTGACAGGTAAAGTACTAGCTCCATGCTGGCCAGAGAGGAAGCTCATGGATGTCACAGAGCAGGGCTAGGATCCCGACTGAAGAGTCACTGGGGATGGAGGAGAGTAACAGAGGAGTTGGGCGAGAGCCTGTGTTTCTCAATGGCTGTACTCCCTCATCCTGAACCTGCATGTCTTTCTCGCCTCACCAGCCCTCACTCACATCCCCAACATTGACATTCCACAAACGTTGGAGCTTGGCCTGCCTAACAATGTGACGTGCTCTGTGCCCTGGGCCTGTGAGCTGGGGATGCCCCCCATCTTCTCCTGGATGACAACTGCCCTATCATCCCTGAGCCCCAGGCCCACCCTCTCCTCAGTGCTGACCCTCACACCCAGGTTCCAGGACCATGGCACTAACCTCATCTGCCAAGTGGCCTTCCCTGGAGTCGGTGTGACTGTTCAAAATACTGTCCAGATCAATGTCTCTTGTGAGTTCAACCCAGGGCTGGGATTCATGGTGACTGTGTCATAGTTGGGCTGGGAACTGAGACAGACACAGGTCCTATACCGCTCAGATTCTGTTCTTTCTGGACAGTTGTGGGGAATAGGGCTGAAACCTG